ACATCAAGCATACAAGCATTCCTCGGACTTCCCCGACATTTGATTGAGATCTAGAAACATATAAATCTACTTGGGGCCTCGCTCGACATTAGACGGTAGTCTAGAACTACTTACATCTAAACGGGTCGGCCTTGGTGCCTTAGACCCGTTCCTACAGGAGAAAACTCACCTCATAAGCTAGCTGTGAATCACGTGTCAAGAATCTTTGACGACTGCTCCAATGACTCCCCGACTATCATTATCACAATAAAACATAGTCAAAAACAGGAAATCCTTCTAAGGGTAAAATGACCATTTTACCCCGTGGTCAAAGTCAACATGCTAGGTTGACCCAACTCGCCGAGTTGCTCCATCAACTCGTTGAGTCCTAGAACCCTGAAGTCGTGATCTAACTCGTCGAGTCACCCCCTGACTTGTCGAGTTCCATGGCTACCCATAGTCGCGATTTGGCGAATCAACTCGTCGAGTCTCTTCATAGACTCGTCAAGTTCTATCTTAAGCTAAAACGGGACAACACGACCCTACTCGTCAAATTTCTCTATGGACTCGATGAGTTCCCCTCACTACTAGAAAAACAGCCTTTTACGACATGCAATGCATGTCGTAAAACGCTCAGACGACACACAAATGCATGTCAAGGAAGGCCCTGTCATAACGAGAGACGACACGCTTTTACGTGTCATCTATAGACAACGTGCATTTATGACACGCATTTACGATGCTCATTTACAACACGCAATGCATATCAAGGAAGATCGTGTCATAAAGGAAGACAACACAAATTTGCATGTTGTAACCTTACGACGCACATTTATGACATGCATCGCGTATCATTAAAGCCCCTATCATAAATGAAGATGAAACGCATTTGTGTGTCATAAACTTTAGCAGCCATTTACAATATGCATTTACAACGTGCCTTTATGATATTCATTTACGCATAATAGAAAAATATGGAAACAAATATATACCAAAACAATCAATTTCATCCAATAACATCATGTCAAAAAATTGTAATACATTGATATTAAGAGGATCAGATTGTACATTGTTATTAAGAGGTTTTCTCTAACTATATAACCTAATACTACATTGCTATTTAAGGGCACCTTCTTGTTTCAGATATCATGTCAAAAAATCCTCGATATTATTGGTTTTCCACCTGGTATACTGGGTTGTTGTCCATCGGACGTGGATGGCAAGTAATGACTTTAACATTAGCTGAAACAAAAAAAGAGTTTTTATTAATCACATAATCAATTTTAGCTAAATCTTATAGTTGTTATATAAATATGTTATTAACTAATATTATCATATCAACATTACAAATAGTAGATAAAAGATATAGCACCTTAGTTATAGTTAGGATTTAACATAAAAAATGATATTTTTAAATATTTGGTGCTAAAATTAAAAATAATCACCTGTTGTGTTCCATTCTATGTTCTTTAACTTCCCATTTAGCATAAGCAATTCGATCAACATACCTGCCAAGGGGCAGTTTAGACATTTATCAATTCGTATTTTCAGACTCTGCACTATTCTACATAATCCACTTGGATACAGTTTCACAGTCCACAAGGCGAGGAGCTTTTTCTGTACACTACAACAATAGCAAGAAAAAGATTTTATCTTTTATATAAAAAAAACATAAACTAATCTTTTAAATTTTTATAAAAATGTATGAATTATGATACTCACATTCCAATAAAAGTTGTATGAGCAATAGCAAGTGACATCATAACTTCCACTTCCGAGATAAACTCAATAGCACAATCACATCCAAGAGCATTGCACCACTTTGTCTATCATATCAAATTTCAAATTATCAATGAATAGAAGTATAATAAAAATCTTGATTATGAAACCATTAAGATAAATTTCATATGTAGTCAACATATTGACCATGTCCACACCAACAGCAGCACCATAAGATGGAATGGGATAAATCTTTACAGCTAAATGGAAGAAATGGAAATGTACTTTCATTTATTTGTGTATTATAACATCTATCCATTTATAGACTTTTTCCTTGTAAGGACATACTACTTAATAAATTCTATCCAAATATAGCAGTGAATATTACATTCTATTTGGATGATATTGTTATAATTAGACAAAACAATACACATACATTGTTATTTTCTTGTATTTAACCCAAATTTTTAAAGACAATTATAGAAAATAAAAAAGTAGCATGTATTCCTGAAGCAATAAAGATAGCAATAACCTGTCGAGTTCCTTAAGAGAGATAAAGATTCCTATATGTTATTGGAAGGAGAGGGTGTTTGAATTCAGCAAAGGTCTCAGCAACTGAATTGACCCTAAAAGCTTGTGGTTTACTCTTCTTATTGAACAAATTTGACAATAAGAAATCGAATATCTAGCACCTGCTAAATAAAAGATCATCTAGTAACACTTATTTAATAGGAAATGCCAATGGCCTACTTACTCAAAAGCACTTGCTTCACTACCAGGGACATTGTACCAACATTTTGGCTCTCCCTTGAAAGTATATGAATAATAATTAGGATCACATTTCAAGATAATATAAAACTGAATTATTATTATGAGTAAGCCACAGATGCACTCAAGCTATACATACCAGTGGTGATGGTCTTTCATCAGCTGCATGTGGAAACCCACTACCATAAACAAAAGTATCAAGATCACTACCATAAATAACTTCAACTTCACCAACATATCCTTCCACTATTTCCTAAAACTTCATCTCTAAATGAACCCTAGATGCAGATGTTGAACCAAACCACTTTTTTTTAAAAGAGTTTAAAAGTTTTATGTGGATCAATTAAATAGCTAGTTCTTACCACCCCCGAAAGGAAATTCTCATATATAATGACCCCTAAAGAGTCTTAGGTTGAATATGACACCCTGAATGCATAGAGGTGGTATAACACATGCATTACAAGCTCATGCCCCTGGTTAAGGTGCAATCATGAAAATGTGTATTAAAACATAAAAAAAGGGTTTGACATTAGTTTTATAATGATATTTTGAAAAGAATACTATATATATATATATATATATATATATATATATATATATATATAACCCTTCTGATGCTGGTAGTCTGAGCCAATATTCTTTTGCATCATTAAAATTACATCATCATCAGCATCAACATGCAGGCAGCAGAACAAATGCAGAAATTATCTACTACTGTCTCAGGAAAAGTTTGCTATCACTCTTTGTATTGAAAGAAATTTGGTCAAAGATATTGATTTAGATAACAAGAAAGAAATTCATTCTGCCATATAATGTTGCTAACATGTCACAAAAGCAGTTTCACATTATAATTGTTTTCTCTATTAGTAGATTTTAGAATTTAACTTGACATAAACCAAACCAAATACAACTCAAAGAAAGAGGATACTAGATCCTTGGTATTCAATGTGGTTGGGCAACAATGTTCTGGTGCAAGAACATTTAGCATGGGGATTTGAACAAGAACCATGTGGAAACTGGAAGCATCTTCAATTTCATAAGCTTCACCATCAATTTTTGGTTTTATGTTAGTGACGACTAGCATCCTATGGAAAGTTCCAGAGTTTATATTTGGCAAACAGGAAGGTGGACCAGTTATGGGATTGGGAGTCGTGTTAGTGTTAGTGTTGTTGTTGCTGTTGATGTTGTTGTTAGGAGCACCATCAGATATGTTGCTGATCTTAGCAATGGCTCCTTGTATCCATGCTTGGATTGGAATGCTTGCTGTAGAACTTGCACTGTCATTTTGATCAGCTAAAAAGTGAAACAAAGTAAATGAATATCTCACCATTTTCCCATAGTATAAATAACTAATTCTAGGACTATACACAACAAGTATGGGGATTTAATAGAAAGAGATGAAATAGGATGCTATAATACACGTGTAAAAGAAAGTATGATGTTGTTTCTTGCATTTAAAAATAAATAACAAGTGTAGTAAAAAGTAAAAAGTAACCCTATGAAGCTTCAGGGGTAGGAGTGCCACTTGTCCCTGCAGTTACAACATGACTTGCTAGCGTACGACAGAAGTTGGCATAACGCCACAATCGTGTGATGAAATGTGATGCTAGATGAAGAACACGATCAACATATGCCTACATATTTGTCATTTCATCCTTAAAATTACCAAACAACTAACAATATCATCAATAAAATCATGATTCAGTTCAGTGACAACTACCAACCGTGATGGTTAATACAAGTGCAGGGTCAACAACCATTGCTTCATGGTCAAATAGAGCTGAAGGGTTAATCAGAGCCGATTCTATTCCTTTCCCCAACATATCAAGTAACAATCGTGCCCGCATATCCTGCACCATTGCTCTAACCTCTTGAGCATTTGTTCCTTCTAATAGCCTGCATTTTATCCTGTCTAATCCCTGTATTTTTTTTTATTTTTTTTAATTAAATCCAACAAAAAAAGAACCATCCTTAAATTAAAGAAATAGCTTAAACAAACATACATGGCCATATTGTTGTTTGTGCTGAGTTGAAGGAAGAGAATGAAAATCCGCATCCATAACTGCAATCACATTGTTCAGTGAAACTGAGTAACAACATAACAACCACAACATCAACACATGTTCTTGAAATGACAAAATTGACCTTCACTAGCTAATTTTTTAGGCCTAAAGTTTTTTTTTGATTACAAGGATCAAAAACATCACTTGGAAAATCAAAAGGATAAAAAACAACTCTTTTTGCCTTTTCAATGTCAGAATCTGACATGTTTATACCCTCAGAAGTCGATCTTGGTGTAGGTGTTGGATTGTTTTTAAGGTAATCAGTTCACTTTTGTGACCCACACTATCTACATAGTAGGTTGTCCACCAAAAGTTGATGTAGGATTCCCAAATATCGGATGTAGAACAACAGGCTCTAAAGAGGATTCCCATCTTTGAACTCTCCATCCAGTAATTGAAGGACCTTCATCTGGGTCATAAGGAGACATGTATTGACCTACATAAACAATGTCAACAGTTAACAAGTAAATGTATGTTTCACAAATGGAGAAGGTTGGAAGGTTGAAAGGTTAAGTACCCTCAACAATTACAATAGCAATGACAGAGCCACCACAGGTAGGGTCCAAGGCAACTGTAGTAACTCCAAAACCATGTAGTTGTTGTTGCTAATTATGTTGAAGCTTCAGGACTCACATATGTAGAAAAATTTGAAACGGGAGAACAATGAAGGGAAACCATGTCACTATAATCTTGTTCTGTAAGTTTCTTCCCTTGTTTACTTTCTGAATCAAAGTATTCCTGCCAGCTAAACAAATAAGAAGCCAATGAAGCAAAACCATCCCAAGAAGGTGATGCAAGTGAAGGAGGGATCCCATTGGTGGTTCTAGTCTTTGGAGTAGCTTGAAATTCATTCCTAAATCCAGGAGTTACCTTCTACAAATACTTTTTCCAGTAAAGAAAAACTAACATTAAACCAATAGTCTTACTTTCATACAAAACAACTACTTCCAAAAGTATAAGGTAAGCAGGAGGTCAGATGTACCCAAATAGTGAAAGAAGACACTAGAAGTAAAGCAGACAAAGCTTACATGGGAAGGCTGAGTCCAGATAGTTATTCTCCCATGAAGGTGAGCATTCAATAAATTGAACTGAACACGTGGAGAATCTGACATAGTTATTCAATCAAAAAAATTCTTGACTTAAAATAAAGATATACCACAAGGAACAGTTTAAAGATACTAAAATAATTTCACACAGAGTACCTGCCATGACATTGAATACGGGCGACTCAGTAGGTCGTTCAGGGATCATAATAGGTATTGGAATCCAAAATGGTGGATTTGCATTAGAACTACAAGAAGGAGAATAAATCTTAGAGAAAGATTGGTATCAGTTTTGCTTTGGGTACAGAGGAAAGATCATTGATCACGTGAGCAATGAAAGGATTCAAGTAATAAGAATAAGAATAAGATGATGATATGAATATCTGATTTGGCTATTTCGATGACAAGAGCATCTAAGGATCCAATTTAATGGTGTTGGACTGTCGGTAGGATTAGAAAAGGAGGCCGTTTTAGGAGTTTGACCTTATGGGAGGTGTGAGCGTATTCGCAGGGGAAGGCAGAGGGATAACAATCATTCCGAAGCTTGATCGGTGGGAGAGGTGACGTCTGTTCTATATCACGATTGCTTAAAAAATCCAAAGAACACATCACGTTCAACATACGCACGCATCACGCATCAGGACCTAGGGCTTGTAAGTACATCAAAAAATAATGAGAAACCTTCATCGCTGGAAAAGGAGGTTGTAGATGGAAGAGAAAGTTGAGATGGAAGTGAACAAGAGATGGAGACGGAAACCCTAAATCGCCATGGCAGGGTTTTCAACTTTTCTAATTTTTTGGGAATTCCTTTTCCCGCTGAGGAAGATGCGCGTTTCATTAGAAAAATATAAAGCGACATGATTTCACGATACGCCTTTTAAGATAGGTGCTCTACGCGTTTTTTTTCACAAATTTTAGGACATGAAAAAATGCGCGTCCTAAATCCTTCACATTTTGGAAGAACTGGCATTATTTTTAGGGCTCACACTTTTGTGTATCGTAAAACAACGCGTGTCATGGTTTGCGCGTCATTAAAGGGTATTTTTCTAGTAGTGATAAAAGCTTAGATCTAGCAACAAGGAATATAAAGCTAGGATTTTGATTACTCACATTGTTCTAAAAGTTAAATCATGGTCTACATGCCCAATCCTAAGCTAACAATCAAACAAGAACATGACAAGGAAATGATTCCATGTCCATAACCCAACCCTTTTATTATAAATTCTCTTTCAAAAGGTTTTGTGAAAATTCTCAGATCCTAGTTTGAGACTGGATTCACACAAGTGTTCCTCCAGTTCACTAAAACCATGGCTCTGAGACCAATTTGTAAAGTCCCATTTTCACAACCAGAAATATTCATTTTTATTTAAGTAATCTTCCCAATTATAACTTCGTTATGGAGAAAACTATTTATTCCAAATACATTTATAAAAATCAGATTAATATTAAAGCGCGTCAATCTTCATTATTGTTGATGAATGTGTACAGTCACGCCTTAGCCTTCCCATGATGACCGCTGATACTTGAAATAATAAACAACTGGGTAAGCACAAATCTGAATGATTTTCCCCCAAAATACCCCATACGATAATCATACAAGTATGCATAATGGCCTATAACCTCCAGGTTAGAATGCCTAGGCCCAAAAAGTCCTCAGACTAGAATGCCAAGGGTTTGTTTGCTTACCGCCTCAACCCAACTGCTCCTCCCAAGCCTTCGTGCCTTCAGTTTCCTGTTGGTCCATATCGGGTATATTGGCTTATATGACAAAGCAGGACAACCTCAACCCATCACTACCATATTTCGACATATAAATAATCAAGGATCAAGTAGGCACATAATACAGGCAAACAATACTCATACAACTCACTACCACCTACTAGTCCTTGCATGGCATATTATTCTGCTACCATCTAACCTCCATGAAGTGTGTAACCATAAATAACTAGAGGTAAGATAGCCACCCGAATAGATGATCATACTCTAGAGCTACAACCAAACAAGGAACAGGAAAGAAAGCCTAGATCAAGAGTTCTTAGGCTATCCTACATGACCACATACAGTCCCTAGGGCATTCCACAAGATGATAACCAACAAGTATTGGTAAACATACAGTTCTACAAATCACTACCGCATAGCAACATCCTAACAAATCATTATGGCATAACAACATAATTAATACCAAGACATGGCTCAAACAGCATAGTAACCTACTACATATCAATAATCCAAGGAATGCCTAACCGTATATACTCAGAGGTGACGTTGACACCCGGACATGTGATGAAACTATTGAACCACAACCAAACAAGGAACATGTAAGAAAGCCTAGATCAAGAGTCCTCAGTCTATCCTACATGACTATATTCAATCCCTATGGCATCCCTCAATTAACAAATAACCAAAACTAGTGAGCCTATATTGGTGCCTTCGACCCACGGGTATAGTGAAGCAAAACTCATCTGAATCAAAGAACTATAAATACTATGATACGGTCGCTTTTTCTGTACTGCTTGCTCCCACGAATCAACTTACACCAGAATCAGATAGAATCTTAATCAATAGCACAAGATCCTTAAGTTTAACCTAAAGTCAAACTTGGTCAAAAAGTCAACTATCAATGAAAGTCAACAAAAGTCAACAGTCAACAGACCCTCACGACATGACCATCTATGGCTCATGTCATGAGCCACTAAAGGAAAAAACAATCAGGTCTCACCACCTTCATGATGTGACACACATCTCCTCACATCGTGAGATCCCTTTGAATGTCATATTGATCCAAAAACTTCATAATCCGTTAAGCTACTAATCATTCTATTCTAGGAGGCTTCCTAACACTCCAAGGATCATAAAAATTGATGATTTAAGGTCTTGTATGTCCAATATAAGACTTGTGCTCAAAATAGGTCATTTATGAAGAAAATGAAGTAATTTCTCATGCATGGACTTAAACATCCTCCAAGCTTCATATCCATGACATATAAGCATCAAGGGGCCTTAAGGACCCATAAAGTTGCAAACTTTATGGAGTTCTAACACTTTCACTCTTAAGATCTTGGATAAATATGCATAAAACCTTAGATCTAGCAACAAGGAAACATAAAGCTTGGATCTTGATTACTCACATTGGTCCAGAAGTGTATCCCAAGCTGAAACTATGCTTCTATGGTGATCTCTTCCTCTTCAAACCATAAAAACTCCACTAAAAGCCCAAGAAACACAAAGAGAGGCTATGGTTAGGGTTTTGCTGAGTTTAGGGATGAAGGAGGCTAGTCTGGAACCTAAAAATGAAGTTTATGGGGTTTTAATGTGAAGGAAACCCTAAAAGACCGTGGGCTTGGGCTGCATCATATCTCAAGTATTAAGCTCCTAATGCTCATGTCATGAAGTTAGATTAAATTAGAATATTAATTGATCATTGCTCATGTCGTGACCTCTCTATGGCTCATGTCGTGAGTCATGGTTTTACCCAAAAACCAAGCCTTGCCTCCTTGAAACCCTAATTGGACTTGATCTGGAAAACCAGGTGTTACACATCAGATGAGGGTTTGAGATGTGGTTGTTTAGAAGACATCCTTCTGAACTTATTATGGTCATTACGTGTTTGTGGTGATGCCTTTTGGGTTCACCAATGAACCAAGAATGTTCATGGATCTCACGAACCGGGTTGGTAGACCAATGTTGGATCGGTCAATAATTGTGTTTATTGATGATAACTTAGTGTATTCTAAGACCAAAGAATAACATGAGGACCATCTATGAGAGGTTTTTAGATTCTTAGGAGAGAGAGGCTATATGCCAAGTTTTCTAAGTGCGAGTTCTGGTTGCGTGAGGTGAAATTTTTTAGGCACCTTGTCAATCAGAAAGGTATTTTGGATTATCCGACCAAGATCAAGGTCTTCATGCAGTGGGAGGTTCCGCAATCTCCATTCAAGATTCATAGTTTTCTTGCTTTGGTTGGGTATTACTTGAGGTTTGTCGAGAATTTCTCTAGGATTGTAGTTCCATTGACTAGGTTGACAAAGAAGTTTGCTACCTTCTGTTGGGGGCTTGATCAATATCTAACATTTAAGACCTTGAAGCAGAAGTCATCCAAGGCTCCAATCTTGACCCTTCCACAGGGTGTGGGTGATTTCGTGGTGTACTGTGATGCATCGAATTTGGGATTGGGTGCAGTTTTGATACAGAGAGGTCATATGATAACTTATGCTTCAAGGAAATTGAAGCCTCGTGAGGCGAATTATCACACTCATGATTTGGAGTTGAGGGTAGTGGCATTCAACCTCAAGATTTGACATCATTACTTGTATGGGGTTCGTTGTATCATTTATACGGACCACAAAAGTTTGAGGTATCTGATGCATCAGCCAGATTTGAACATGAGACAATGCAGGTGGCTGGATATGATGAAAGATTATGATTGTGAGATCCTTTATCACCCTGGGAAGGCCACTGTGATGGCCAATGATCTTAGCTACAAGATAGTTGGTACACCGATTAGAGATGTATGATTAAGTATGAAAGTGATCACCCCACTCTTGGAACAAATTCATGAGGGTCACGTTAAGGCTATGAAGGAGGAGCATCGGAATAGTGAGCGTATAGTGGGTTAGTTATCCTCTTTTGATTATGATATATGGGGATTATTGAACCTTCATTGGAGAGTTTGAATTGCATATTTCGGTGGTATGCGGAAGATATTGATATAGGAGGCGCATAAGTTGAAGTTTTCTATTCATCCAGGTGCGACAAAGATGTAGAACGACCTCAGCTTGATTATTGGTGGCCCTGCATGAAATGGGATGTGGCTTGGTATGTAGAGAGGTGCTTAAATTATAGGAAAATCAAGACCGAGCATCAACGACCTCACAGAAAGATGGGGCCATTAGGTATTCTCGTTTGGAAATAGGAGGAGATCATGATGGATTTTTATCATGAAGCTGTCACGAACTGTTCGAGGGATAGATTCGATTTGGGCATCGTGGATCGATTGACCAAGATTATGCATTTTGTTCCTATCTAGGAGAGCATCTCTGAAGAGAAGTTAGCAGATGTATACATCTGAGAGGTTGCGGCACGACATGGGGTCCCATTTTAGTGGTTCTAATCAGGACATTCGATTTACTTCCAGGTTCTGGAAGAGATTTCATGGTGAATTTGGTACATGGTTTCACTTTAGCATAACTTGTCATCTACAGATTGATGGTGAGATTGAGTGGACTACCCATAACTTGGAGGATATGCTTCAGGCATGTGTGTTGGATTTTAGAGGTAGTTGGTATACGTATCTCCCATTGGTTGAGTTCTCTTATAACAACAACTACCACGCGACTATAGATAGACCTCCTTTTGAGATGGTCTACTGGAGGAAGTTTCGGACCCTGATTTACTAGGGAGAGGTCAGTCAACGAGTCATGGGTAGCATGGAGGTCGTGCTCCAGACTACCGAGTTGATTCTACGGGTCCGCGGGAGGTTGCACACCGCATATAGTCAACAGAAGAGTTATGTGGATTGGCGCCAGTCGGATTTGGA